AGCTCACGCAGGAGGAATGCACAGGAAACGGAACTGGACGTGTGTGTGTGTGTGTGTGTGTGTTTGTGTGTGTGTGTCTGTCTGTCTGTCTGTGTGTGTGTGTGTGTGTGTGTGTCCTATCATCTAGCTACCTTCATTGCCCTTCTTAGATATCTGCTAAAAACTGAATCATCGCTTGCAACATTCCAAGAAAGTGAATCCATTTTTCATTGTTTGGAATTCCTCAAACACCTCTGTCACGGGGGGCGTAAAAAAAAATCAAAGACATTATAGCTGCTGATAACCTGTGATGCATTTTGCAATTGTAAAGGTGTGTTCCAAAACACCTTGAACAGTGTCATGTTTAATGGCAGAATGAGGTATAATCATCAGATAAGCATCAATATTACTCACATATCGAGAGTTAGTGATTTGACCAAAAGTATTACAATATGCTCGTCCTGCACTGTTACACCCAAACCACCACCTACTGCATTAGCAACGCTCTAGCAACCACATACAACACCTCAGAAACCCTCCACAACACCACATTTTGCTCAGGCAAATATCACTCATGTTTTCTTCAAGAAAATAAAAGATTAGGAAATTGGGGAAAGTCATTTTTACACTTCTATAAAAAGGGATTTGCAGAGGAATCCCTTGTGAAAAAGAAGTACACTATTAAAAAAAGTACTTACGGAAATAATATACTTCAAAAGAATATACTTAAAGGGTATATACCATGTGACATCAGTGGTTCATCTGCAATTATACGAAGCTACGAGAATACTTTTTGTGCGCAAAAGAAAGAAAAAAAAAACGACTTTATTCAACAATTCGTCTCCTCCGCGTCACTGTAGCGCCATTTTGGAGAATATGCGCTGGATGTAAACAGCGTATGCTGTTCTGTGTCAGCTGCGTCACACGGATACACTGTTTCCGTTCAGATCAAATCACAACAACATAGTAAACAGATCCGGCGTGACGCAGCTGACAAAAAAACAGCATGTTGTTTACGTCCAGCGGATATTCTCCAAAATGGCGCTACAGGGTGATGGAGGAGACGAATTGCTGAATAAAGTCGTTTTTTTCTTTTTTTTCTTTTCCGTATTCTCGTAGCTTCGTATAATTGCGGAAGAACCACTGATGTCACATGGATTATTTTACAGATCTCCTTGCTACGTCTCTGGACTTGGGAACATTTCAGTTGTTTTGCTGTCTATGGGAGGGTCAGACAGCTCTCAGATTCCATCAAAAATATCTTAATTTGTGTTCTGAAGATGAACGAAGGTCTTACGGGTTTGAAACGACATGAGGGTGAGTAATTAATGACTGAATTTTCATTTTTGGGTGAACTAACCCTTCAATTGTGTATTGTAATGTTTTTAAACACTGTGCATCAAAAAGGAAAATTCTGTCATTAATTACTCACTCTCATGTCGTTCCAAACCCGTAAGACCTTCGTTCATCTTTGGAGCACAAATTAAGATATTTTTGATAGAATCTGAGAGCTGTCTGATCCTGCATAGACAGCAATATAACTGAAATGTTCCCAAGTCCAGAAACGTAGCAAGGAGATCTGTAAAATAATCCATGTGACATCAGTGGTTCATCTGCAATTATACGAAGCTACGAGAATACTTTTTGTGCGCAAAAGAAAGAAAAAAAAAACGACTTTATTCAACAATTCGTCTCCTCCGCGTCACTGTAGCGCCATTTTGGAGAATATGCGCTGGATGTAAACAGCGTATGCTGTTCTGTGTCAGCTGCGTCACACGGATACACTGTTTCCGTTCAGATCAAATCACAACAACATAGTAAACAGATCCGGCGTGACGCAGCTGACAAAAAAACAGCATGTTGTTTACGTCCAGCGGATATTCTCCAAAATGGCGCTACAGGGTGATGGAGGAGACGAATTGCTGAATAAAGTCGTTTTTTTCTTTTTTTTCTTTTCCGTATTCTCGTAGCTTCGTATAATTGCGGAAGAACCACTGATGTCACATGGATTATTTTACAGATCTCCTTGCTACGTCTCTGGACTTGGGAACATTTCAGTTGTTTTGCTGTCTATGGGAGGGTCAGACAGCTCTCAGATTCCATCAAAAATATCTTAATTTGTGTTCTGAAGATGAACGAAGGTCTTACGGGTTTGAAACGACATGAGGGTGAGTAATTAATGACTGAATTTTCATTTTTGGGTGAACTAACCCTTCAATTGTGTATTGTAATGTTTTTAAACACTGTGCTAATGTTAATTGCAGTTAAATGAAAATGTATTACCATTTAAACTTATGCAGTAAATAAAATTGAGTTAGACTTGTGTACATCTTTATATGTAATTTAATTAATTTGTGTAAGAAAATATCCATATTTAAAACTTTATTAACAGTAATCTTTAGCTTCCGCTAACTGTCGTACGCACGTTCACGAGAGTGTGGCGTTCCAGCGGATGGCGTGGGACGTTGCGTAAGCTCCGGTGAGAAGTGACAAATGCGGAAGCGCAGATGAGAAGTTCACTTAAGTGGTCTTTTATTTCACTAATATTATATTATCTGCAGGTACAGTTTCTAAAAAAAAAAAAAATAATACTTGTATGATTTGAAGTGCACTAAAAGTGCACATTTAATACACTTTGCTCTTCGTTTTCACAAAAGACAGTTCAAGCCAAAAATAAAAATTCTGGAAATGAAAATTATTCACCCTCATGTTGCTCCAAACCTGACTTTCTTTCTTATGTGGAACACAAAAGAAGACATTTACTCTTTTTGTCCATTCCATGAAAGTCAATGCTGTCCAAAATAACTCCACTGGGCTTCATTAACTTAAAAAAAATATATCAAAATATCTTCATACAATTTTGTATTGCCATACAAGGCTGAACCATGTCTTTAATATGTCACTGATGTGCGTTGTCTTAATATGGGTCTACTGGAATATCATGCATCCCAATTCAGAAGCTAAGCTTCAACAATGACATCATTATTCCTGTAGCATCGTTTAACAAATTGTCCATGTCATCTTTGTTGTTCTCCCCCCCTCTCTCTCTCTCTCGCTATTCTCCCCCTCTCTCTCTCTCTCTCTCTCCTCCCTCTCTCTCTCTCTCTCTCGCTCTCTCTCTCTCTCTCTCAGTGACCAGCTTTGGTCAGGAAAGTCTAATGGAGCATGTAAGGTGTCAAAGTGCAGTGGAGCAGCACATTCCTGAGAGCTTCCGGAGGAATTCCACAGGCGCTTTCAGTTGTTTTGTGTTTGTCAGCGCAGTGCCACATTCCTCCAGCGAGCCACCACACTGAGTGGAAGAGGAAGTGGATAAGGCCACATTGTTAGATTGTGACTGAGACAGAAAAACAGAGAGACCGAGTCTGAGGTGGAGCACGGGTGACCTGAGCAATCATTAACTTATTATAAAGCACAATGATATGTCTCAGGTTAAATCGTTTTATAAATGACATTCAACAATTAATCCCATTCTTATTGGCTCTTAGTTGATAAAATTGACATGTAACTTTTTTATCATCTGTCCATGATGTAAACCTTAAAAACATTTACTTTAGTTACTGTTTTATGTTTTTGACCTCAGCAGGACAAACAATCTGTGAGGTGCCGTCGTTTGGTGGACTGTGACATCACTCTGGCATTTCCTGCCCCCCCTGCAGAGGCGTTTTAATGTTTAATATTTTTCCAGTTCATAGAAGGAAAAAAAAAAGTATACATTTCATAAATCATTTTTTTTTCTGAATATTATTCATAATGTTTTTAAGCATATCAAACCATTAAACTAGTCCAAAAAGTCACACTTTAAGAAGGTGCCATGACATTGCATAAAAAATATGCAGTGTCATGCTTTGCTTGGTTTATTATTTTCAATGCATATCCATGCATTTTAACTATCATGAATAAATAAATAAGCATGCATACAAATAAATAAATTAAAATAAATAAATAAATAATGTTCTGTTCTATTTGAAAAATTATCAGGTCCTATCTGTCATTATCACTGCACATTTATTTATTTTATTTAGTCATACTATGGGAAAATGCAGATATTAAGAGCATGCAATAGAGCTGGAACAGCAGCTAAGGCGAGAGGTTGTTTTCCAGCTGTAACACACTAGTGTACATTTCCAGCGTGTAATAAAATGCCTTCTTCCAGGTTATAATATTTTGCATATTTGAATCAGTGACATTTGTTAACAGGAGTGTGCTGATATGATTAATGACAGACAGATGAAGCTGTAATTTTCTCCATTGAGGGGGTTTCTTGTTTTATTTGCATATCTTGTGAATGTTATCTCATTATACAATATGTTAAAACAATATCGAGAAGATAAATAGATTTGATCTGATTTGGTAAGACTTTAGTTTAGGGACCAGTTCTCACTATTAACGAGTTGCTTATTAGCATGCATATTACTATATTGGCTGTTTATTAGTACATAATAAAGCACATATTAATGCCTTATTCTGCATGACCATATCAGCAGCAAATTAGGAGGAATTTATTAAGGTTAAATGTCATAGTTAATATATTTAGTTAATAGTGAGAATCAGACTGCCTAGTAAACTGTGGAGTAATGATGCTGAAAATACAGCTTTGCATCACAGGAATACATTTATTATATTTTAAAATATATATAAAAATAGAAATGTTAAATTTCACAACATTACTTTTTTATGGTATTTTGTTCAAATAAATGCACCCTTGGTGAGCAGAAGAGACTACTAACAAATCTTACCAATCCCAAACTTATATCTTCTTATTTATAATATGTACTTACATATAATATATAATATACAATGTGTGTATATATACCGTTTACTGTGATCCACTAAGTATCTCATACAGTACCTCCTGATCTCTTACAGAATATCTTTCTTATTAGTTTGATGTGTGCTGTTTCTGCGAAATGTTGCACTGACATATTTTTCAGCTTTGTATCATTGCTAAATCATTGCCATATCCACAGTCTGCGGTCCTGAACTTAACTGGATATCCTGCACATGCACTATCACTCTATCAGTCTGCTTTTTCCTCCGGGGGCTTCTGCACTAATGTGGAATGTATCGCTGAACTCATGCAAAACATGCCATTAAAAACTATCTCCTGTGACGGTGACAGCACACGGACTCCCCTGCGGAAAAAAAGTTTCCTGTTTCTGCGACTCTGACTTGTCCAGAGCGAGTCACTGACATCAGCGGCTGCTCCCTACCTTTCTTTCATTCTTCCCTCCACCTCATTCAACCCTGCAGCCAATCAGGAGACAGGAATGTCTGGACTGTGTGGGATAGGCAGTGTTGCGTCACACCGATGGGAGGATAAATGAAGGCGGGCAGGTTGAGTTGAACACAAGCACCTGTCAGTCTCTCTGTCGAGCTCGGTGGACTGCAGATACTAACTGTACATCACCACTCAAGCGTGTTAAACTCCCGAGAATGGCTTCCTCACTGCGGAACGCTGTCTTTATCACTGTTACACTGTGTGTGCTGCAGCAAGGTAAGACACGTTTACCTTTGACTTCGTTTTCCGCAGCATGTGTGTTTTCTGTGGCTTGACACAATTATTATTTATGAGAGAAACTTCATATAGCATATTAGATTTATTATAAAACGCAGTTGTTTTAGCTTAACAGCAAATGAGGTTTTACGGAACCCAAATGGAAATTTTGCTTCTCATATTTTTTTAACAATCAGTCCGCATATAATGATTATATTGTCCTATAAGACTTCATATTCTCTTGTACTTTATGACCCCACTGATGGATATCTGCTTAACACACACAGAAAATCATTATGCCTTATTATCTTTACAGATAAGTTCAGCAGATATTACTCAGTGTCATATCTATATGGAGTTATGACCAAGTACTGTATCTGTAGTATTTGTGTATTCATCAGATTAATACCAAACACACTATTTTAAAAAGGGAATTTGTGCAGTTGGATTAGTAAAAATAACTTTTGGTGGTGTGACCTAATGTATACAGGTCATATAAAACAACAGAGTCAGTAAATTTGGATGTTGCTTCATTTTAGGTTGCCAAATAAACATTTTGCGAATAGCTTTAATCATAGCTTCTGTGTTTTCTAGGGATTGGATATCCACTATCTGAACAGTCTGAAGCATCTAGCAATCCACCTGCTCTCAAACGGGTCCGTACCAAACGCTGCTCCTGTAGCAGCTGGTCAGACAACGAGTGCATCTATTTCTGCCATTTGGACATCATCTGGGTCAACACACCGAAGTGAGTGCGTCTAAGATGATATAGGGTGAATGTAGGGAATTGAAAATGATCTTCAAAGGATGCCAGTTTTAACTGAATTCTGATTCTAAAAAAAATCTAGATCCATGATATGTCATCTTAACCAACTGTAGACCCCAAACATATGCATTTATAACACCCTGTTTGCATTTGACCACTTATAATTCTCTGTTAACCCTCTCCTTCTCATCTCATTACAGTAAGATCACACCTTTCGGTCTGGGAAGCCCTCTGTCCCGTCGCCGGCGCTCCACGGGCCGCTGTGAATGCGCCAAGCCCGCCGACCGGACCTGCTCCAGTTTCTGTCACAGCAGGTGAGCGCAGACTCTGCAGCTTCCGGCTCCACCCTGAAGATGAAATCAGACAGATACGTGTCCTTTCGTCTGTCGCGGATGCCGTAGGCAGCCATGTGTGACCTGCGGAGATCAGGGCAGCTTGTGTGTATGGGGGGTTTACCAAGCTCTGATATGCATCCTCTTCTCTGAGATAAAAAGCAAATAAGGGAGTGAATGAGAAACCTTCTTAATGACTAAAGTAGTTATGAGTCATGCAGGTCACCAAATCAAAGGACAACTATTTTTGGACAAGTTTAATATTATCTGAAGATTCCTGTGTTTGTTCAAGGACAGCATTAGCCCTTGTATTCATGTTTTTTTATGTGGGAAAGACATTTCGATTTGTTTGCCCTTGGTTTTCACGAGCAAGTCACTGAATAAAGTAGATTGAATACCAATTTTATTTTATTTTATTTTACTTTTTCTTTTCTTTTCTTTTCTTTTCTTTTATTATTTTTATTTACATTTTTAATTAAATTTTCTTTT